GAGAGAGAGAGAGGTAGTTGAGAGGTACCAATGAAAACCGATAGAACTTGTCATAACATATATCTCATTTGCTATGCAGAGATTTGGGAGTTTGGAAGCAGCCCTCAAAATATATGGGATTACCACTGCATCTTGAATTGAAAGAATTGTCCTATGTCTGATGCCTCCAACCATGATATGAATTGTCAAGGTGATTGATAATATAAGATGTGAGTGTGCTAACTGCTTGTCTGCAGTAATTCAAATATCAAGTGCCTAGCTGTCCAAGGAAAAAAAAAAGGAGAAAAGGCAGAATAAATAAGCTGTAAATCAGCAATGATATTTATGATTCTGAAAGCCTTTTGTAGTGACAAACTCATTTTTTGAGTGTTTGGCTGCACTAGAAAATCTCATCACATTTATGAATTCATTAAATTGAAAAAAAAATCTAGTTTGATCAGAGTAATTTGAAAATCAAATATAACTAATGAAATGGTGATTAGCCAAAAGACAAATATTACAAAATAAATTTTATTTCTTTTAACATCCACTTGAAATCCATAAACATTAGATAATTTATTTTCACCAATCAGATCTTTATTTAAAGGGCACAAACCTTTCAACAAGGTCAATACAGGAATTAATGTGAATAAATTGATAACTTCAGTTGAATCAACTTGAGTTTAGTCTCCATACAGAAAATTGATCATATCAGTTTTTGATGGTCAAATGAGGTTTAACTAAACAGCTCTTCACTAGGTAAATTATTGGGTTGCACATGCTGGAACCTAACCCCTACCTTTTGATTTGACTACGTTGCTATCCTAGAAAATGGTGAATATATAAGAAGTATGTTTTATTTTAGTTCCTAAAATGCTTTTTGGTATCGTTAAATATCAAAGGCATTGAAGGTGCCAGTTAGCTTAAAGGTTTTATCTTGACAACTTACATAATGAACAAACAATTATTTAAAGGTTCAATAAACCATATAGGAAGTGTACCATCTTTCACAATGCAACATTCAAAACAACGTGACTTTCTGGAAAGTTAAAATATAATTGTAGGCGTGCAACTTTATGAATTTAATGTGTTTCGGAAAATATGATGATAAAATAGGCTAGTTCTGGCAAATATTCACTTTTTCTAATTGAAACAGGTATCATCCAATCGACCATCTCAAAGATCATACCAACTTCAGATAAATCAAAGGAAATATAAAGAGAAAATAAATTAGGAAAACACATGAAGATCATACGATGAATAGCTCACATCCCTGCTATGAGTTTTCTCTTTCCCTACTTCCAAATTTAGAAGAAATAACCAAACAAAGTTTAACTGTTTTTGCCTTTTTTTTACAATTATTCCAGAAAAGTTCAAGAAAATGAAATTTGATGATTGGAAGAAATTATAAAAGATATAACACTTGATATGAACTGATTACTTCATAAATATAAACTAAGTAGACGTCAATGAGAGCCAAACCATTGAGATGACAACTCTGCTCTCTTGGAGATGGTACAACAAGTTCCTAGATTTGGAAATCACAAACATAAGCATACAGCATAGTGTAAACATATTATCATCTATGGAAATTCCTATATATTCTCATAAATGGTCACAACTTCGCAAAAAGCCTCCCAGCGCAATATATTGTTATATAACAACATAGATAACCTAAAATTGATGAAAAAACAGACATTAAAATTTCAAAGCTTCTGAGATTCATAAGCAACAACTTGGCTCATCAGCAATGGAATTTATACTGTATTTAATCTTTTATTTTTGTGAAATCTAGAAACACTGCCGTGCTACGACTGCTTGAAGACCAATCATAAAAGTTGCATACATGCATTAAGCGTTGCTGATTTCTTTGATTCATTCTGCAGCTGATTTATGACAATGTATCAAACTAGGTTGATATATAATTTCCTGGATTAAATTGAAAATCTGAATTAAAATGAAATTCCTCCTTACTTATTTGGTCCTTATATAACCAACACCAATATCTATGCTGTATTCAGCTAGTCCTTCATTTGGTGAGAATTTATCACTGTTTTAAGTTCATATATAAGACACTATTAGTAGATTGGATAAAACCTCACCCCCCCCCTTTCTAATCATCCATTGTTAGGTAAGCTAATTTGCGTGATTGACCAAGCAATGTTGGACTGGATTATCCCTCAATTAACCTCTTAATCACATAATTTTTTGACTTGCTTAACAATTCAGCATATGCATACTTAACGGAGACAAAACACTAATTGACCTAGTTGTCTCCGTAGTTTGCATAGACTTCTAATGGTGTGGATTCCGGTAAGGGCCAAACTAGGAAACAGTATTTTCTTCATGGACAAAAATTACCAAGCAGAAGACAAAATGAAGGTCGACCCAAATTCTCAAAGAGTCATAAACTGATATGATATCCAACCGATGATAAAACTTTAACTAACTTGTATTCATGGTTCAAGTACTGGCACATTACAAGCATCTATCACGCTAATCACCTGGTCAATTGCTGAAGGATGATGATCTTCTCGTTCTATTTAAAGCAACTGCAAGCTTCTCAATATCAACCTTTTTCAAGAGTCTCACCGTCTTCATAGTCCGCAGAGTATCTTCTCCAGAGATCATTCTCCCATATTTACGGGGAGTTCCATCTCCCATATCCGGCGGTTGCGGTGGGCGACGGCGGAGGAGGCGGACGGCTTGGGTGAAGAAAAGGAGACGCGGAGAGCCGGTTAAAACGTTCGGCGATCCCCGAGTCCGCAGCCCTTGATCCGAACCGGATTCCATGTGACTCATGAGCCAGATTGATCAATTTAAACGGGTCGGATTCGTGTCGAGTTGGGCTGACCCAATGGATTGGTTTGAGATCGATAGGAATGGCAGTCCAAGTCGTCTCAATCCTCAATTTTGTCGGACTCGGGCGTACAGGAGACCATGTATCCGCCACGTCTCTTCGTTACCCGACCCACGTGGCACACCGTCCCCACCACGTGCCCTCCTGATTCTTCCCGACGATTATGCATGGCGATTCCCAGACTCGCTAAAGGCTGCCTCCTCCCCTCTCCGGAGACTTCCCCACCTCCCTATATTAGTCCCTCGGCCAGCGCTCTTCTCGCTCGCCTCAGAAGCCAGGTGTTGATGAGAGGGATGGAATTTATGATGGGGATGGAGAACGATCCCCTGATCGCCACCATCCACCATCTGATGGACTTCCCGGAGGAGGTGGAGAAGGTGGTGAGCACCCCCGCCCGCGCCTACGTCCGTGACCGCAAGGCCATGGCCTCCACCCCGGCGGACGTCAAGGAGGTGCCCGGCGCGCTGGTGTTCGAAATCGACATGCCCGGGGCCAAGACCGGAGAGATCAAGGTGCAGGTGGAGGACGACCACACCCTGGTCGTCAGCGGGGAGCGGCGCCGGGCGGAGGACAAGGAAGCCAAGTACCAGCGCATGGAGCGGCGCATGGGGAAGTTCATGCGCAAGTTCCCGCTGCCGGAGGACGCCAACCTCGAAGCCATCACAGCGTGCTTCCAGGAGGGGGTGCTCACCGTCAGGGTGGAGAAGAAGCCACCGCCGGAGCCGAAGAAGGCCAAGACCATCGAGGTCAAGGTTGGGGGCTCATCCGAAGGCTAGGACCAGATGCATGGGGTGTAGTATACGACATGCATCGAGGTGTGGTAAGTATAGAATATACGTGTTGGTGTGCTGGTGTGTTGTATTAGGTAGGTGTTACGTAGTTATTAAGTAAGCAAAATGTGAAGTCTTCTACGCGACTCGAGTAAATATACGTGCCATATCCTCTGGATAATGTCCACTGGAACAAAGCCAGCGGGGTTTGTTGGTTTTCCAAAATATTATTTTATATGTAGTTGGACGCATATCAAAAGGCGATGTACGAAAGGCTTGGAAAAATGTAGGCGAAGTATGTATATATATAAATTGACAAGTAGCAATGCTTGCGAGTGTTTGGAAATGGTATTAGGGTTGAGAAGCACACGTTCGTTCAAATGAGATTGCCGTATGATGCTCGATAGTATGCACAAACATTAATCAAGGTGAATCGTTCTATGATGCTCTGTTGATGATCACATCAGAAGAGATCCGATGTGATAAAATTGTAAATTCCTCACACTAACACAGGTGCATGAGGAGAGAGAGACTGGCAGATTGAAACAAAGTACAATGCTCAAAACACAGTTCAATCGCAGTTCTTCACTTCCTCGAAAGCTCTTACCATGCTTGAAGAGCATACATAACTTCTCTCAACCTTCCAACCATGTCAAGGTTCCCACTATTAAAATTTTGCTAGGGAGTTCGCCAGGGCACGGTGCGAGATATGTAATCTTCTTCCTGCAACAGGCAACACCTGGTAATTTGATCACGAAGCAACAGCTATGTCAAAACATTGACATACTAGAGCAGACGATATTACCTCTGGATGTCTATATCAGTGACATAAATGAACCCAGCAACGTTGCTGCAATGAGTTTCAACATACTTGTGTAAGTAAGCACATGTATTGCGACAGATTACAAAGATATATTAGACGATAAAAAGAAAATAAAATCTTAACCAGCAAATCAAATTGGTTTAACAGCTCTAAGCCCTAAACCAGAAACTGGAGGCCAGACTCTCTTGAGATACAACCAGCTGAAACAGAATAATCGCAATTTGGCAGCTGTGGAATTTATGGACCACTGGCAAACCATTTCTCATGACAATTAGCTGTGGATGTTAGGAAGAAGAGAGAGATTTTTTAGTAACATCCAAAATCATTAAAAAGAATTACCTGGATATAATTTGATCAGATTCCTTAGCATATGAAACAGCTAAAACAAGATGGAGCAAATCACGGTTTATGTTAACTGCAACTACGCGAGTTGGGTCAGCTACAGGCTCTGCACCTATAGGCAGAGCAGAACGAGGAGCCTGTGGACCACCACCGATACGATAAACTGAAATGTCAGTGAAGTTGACGATATTTGAGTGTGCAGATAAATCATTTGCAAGCCCGTAAAAGTATTCCTGCGAAGAAATCAGTTTAGGTGTCAAATATGAACCAAGTAATATCTACCTACATCATATTTAACAATCTGATCACAAGATAGATATGCTCAAACCAAACCTAATAGACCAGTGACACAAGCTAGTCCAGGATAGAAGCCATTTCAACCTAATCACCATAATAAACAGAACTATGAACCAAGAAACCGATAAAGACAAACATCGAAACGAACCAACCACAGTCCTTAGGTCGAGTTCTAGCATTTAAGATACATTTCCTGACCACATTACCAAACAATACAACTTCCAGCGTGCATATGTAAGCTCAAGAAAATAAGAACGATCTATGGGTAGTATTTTTGTGACATTTGACAGATGCACGACCAAGATAAATACTGTAATAGACAGTTGGATTTCATAAAGAATTAAAACATGGTACAAGAATTACAGAAAGTTGTCTAAATCAAATCAATGGATGATATTTTGCACTTGCCCTGATTCTCAAGCTCCTTGTCTTTTGACGGACTCTTTGATTCCTCAGTACTACCCCTCCTGATTTATGAAGTTTCACGACATCTACATTAGGCTTACTCTTCAAAACATCCTTGAGCATGCTGCACAGTTTCTCCTAAAAGTCACAACAGGAAAACAAATGAAGCACCTAGACAAAAATGCTCTACCACAAGAAAAGGACATCTCTTCAAGTAAAGAAGAGCATCACATATATAATAAATGCATTACAGATTTGAAGTTAATGCAACTCTTAAATGTGAACCATCATGGAAAAATTATAAAGCATAATAGAACAGTTTTACAACTATAAAGCTAGTGGTTAAAACAAAATGATACGTTAGCCAGCCATCCAATATCTCCATCAACAGTTTCATGGAAGCTGCCTTCGTACTACAACCAGTATCCTATCCAACTTGCATAAAACTTGAACATAATAAGCGAACAAGATTAGACATCAAACATTTAAGAGACATGGCAAATAGTCATGTTTTATCAGAAACAGCCGAGATTAGCATTCAGAACACATTTATTAAGCAGAAAACTAAATCAATACAAACAGTAATACAGAATGGACAACTCAGCCATAGAGCAAGATATATGTCTGTTTTATGTTTACCTAGTTCCACATATAATGATGCATGGAGTACACGTGCAATATATCAGATAATTACCTGCCCCAAGACTAGAACCACATCACACTTGAAAGTGTCAATTGCATGAAGAAGCAACTGCATGCCAAACAGAGAAATTTGAATACAGTTTCAGATGACAGTTTAGCAGAAAACTAGAAAATTATTATACAAATGAGATAACTTATAAAATGACCCTAAAAACTACCTCGTAACCAAGACCTTCCACCCATCCCATGGTGTTAATCACCATGCCTGCAGCTCTAGCTTCAGCATTTCCAGAGAATTGTCTCTCCAGAGTTGCAGCCAGCTCCTTCACAAGTACTTTGTAGAGATCCCCATTTGCACTATTGAACAAAATAACCAAGAAATGCTTACATTATAAAGTAACTTAATTTAACTCGTAAGACTGATCTATCATGAGCTACTAATCATGATATAATAGAGTGGAAATGAAATATTTACCTCGGAGTTGTATGCCCATAAAAGTACACAATAGGCATTTCTAAAGGAATTCCTTCCATGACATCTATAGGCATCTCAACTGGAGTAGCAGCAATGCACCCAGGAATGGTTATGGACCCCTGACCAATATCCAGATCCACATAGGTAGGTTTCCAACCCAGTTTACAAGCCCAGCTCAGAAGCATCTTGCACAAGCTACTCTTCCCTGAATCAGTGGGTCCTACAACAATCACCCTAGGACCCTGAAATACTAAGACAGACAATTCTTCAGATGCACGGTAAAAATATATATAGAGAATGACTAATAAAAAGTTACTTAAGGCACCACGTAGACATGGATGACAATATAAAAATTGAATGATTTCTACCGCAGATTAATAGCTTATGAAGAGATAACGCTAGAGCTTTTACATCTATTCTTGTGACAGGGTCAGTGTTGCTAACCCAAGTTAACTCACTATTTCTTTCCACTATTGGTGCTTCAGAACCGAGTGATATGTTTCATTGACTAACAAAAGGAATTCAACCATACTATTAGAACCACCCCATCCAATACTAGAAACAGAGAGCAGCAAGGATCAGATGAAATCTCAACTTCATCCACATCTTATAGAACCTCATAGTAAGCCATTTACCAAACCTAAAAGAGATATAAACTATCCTGTCTTTTGAAATCTTAAAACAGAATTTTCACCTTTAAATACTTTGTTTCAGGTTAAATATTTTGTCATTTTTGGCAGTCAACAGCTTATCGTAAATGATCTCATATTGGCTGATCACTTAAATCATTATCGACATATGTATCCAAACACAAGTAAAATGAAAAGAAATATAAATTAATAAAAAAACTTGCTTAGTTTTCCTGAAACAATACATCCTTTTAAGCCACATTATTATCTAATTTCTTAGCATTCTATACCAAATATGAAGCGAAACGGTGTTCCTCTTTAAAAACAAAAAAGCAAATCGAGGGAGGACTGTAATTTCCTTATGATATGTCTTCTCAAATACAGTAGCTCTAAATCAAACACACGAGAAAACTAGAAGCTTTTTCACAAATTTATGTATCTTGCGCCTACAAACTATCTAGTCACAAGTGAAATGCTTACTTATTGAAGATTGTATGCACCTGTTAAATTGAGAGTATGACGAGAAAACGTACTATAATATCATAAAGCGAATAAAAGATTCTCATTCCACCATCAACACATTCTCCACAAATTGAGACCAACATCATAAGCAAGTCAACGTACCTGCGAAGAGTCCATACCACTAGCTTGAGATGACTTCGCACGAGCTCTTCTCGCATCAAGAATGGCATGAACATTCACATAACTCACCATCGGCGTCTAATTGCATCATCACATATACTTCAAATCGATAAGCAAACAAAAGTCCCAATCCTAATTCGGCACTACATCGCGTTACCTCATCCGCCACGTACTCCACTTCGCTGATTCCGTCCAGTTCGATAGTCGCACCATTCCAGGTGAACACCTTCAAAAAGGTACAAAGTTAGTGTTCTTTTCCTCATTCCACGTCAGGGAAAAGAACACACCACAGAGAAAATTTGAGAGACAAAAGCAGGAAGCAAACAAGGGATTACTGCGATCTTGCTATGTGGAGGAGCGGAGATCCAATTGCCGGGGGGCAATTCAGTGCCGAAGATCTCGGCGGCGCCGGAGAGGAGGCGGAGGCGGAGCGGCGCGTCGGGGCCGACCTCCACCCTGAGCTCGCTCTCCTTCGCTAATTCGAACTGCCGGGCCGAGGCCATGTCCCGTCGCCGGCGCCGTTTGAAGCGCCAAAGCCCTAAATCGAGAGGGTTTTGGAAAATTGCGCATCTTAATTGATTCCTTTCGTTTTCCGGATGGAGGAGCCGCTAACGGATTCACCGAAAGTGAAAGATCGGACGGTTCTGAGCCAAAACAACAACATGATATCTGCTTGCTCGAATCTTGATGTAGTTGGGCTAGAATTATTGTTGATATTTCGAAGAGGAAAACTGATCCCTTGGTGTAATATCGTAAAAGATATATTTGGACTTTTGGATTCAATAATGTGAGCTCTAGGATGAGCTTGGATGATCAATTCATCTAAAAATATAATTAATTTATTAAAAAATCTCTAGTAATTGATTTTAAGATTTTTTTTAAATTTAAAATTTTAATTATTTCTATTAAACATTCATATTTTCTAAAAGATGAGATTACTCTCTGTCTCGTCATGGGAGGAAAGTCTTTGGCATCTCAAGAGTCATCACTATAGAAGTTATCAAAGTGGGGGTCATCACCATGATAAAATAAAGTGATAGTCAACACGGTAGCACCATCATTATGTGGATGAGGAGGGCGTGGATGGGGGGTCGGTGCTAACGATAGGTGATCAAGGAACGTGATCGATTCTTCTCCAAGAGGCCTCTTAATGCCTCAAAGTCCTATTTGGTCAAATAAAATTCACATCATAGCAACTTACTTAAAGCCTAAGAGCTACTTCTAATTGGGATCGGAATAGGGTAACCCTTATAAAAAATAGGAGAGCCACAAAGCAAATATGATGCAAACTCTTAGAGTAGAAAAAGGATTGTGCGCTAGCCCTAGAAGATGATTCCTAAACCTTTCACTACTCTTACCCTACCTTAACTATAAAAGGAGAAGAACCTCTTAGAATAGCATAAAAAATAGTAACAACCAAAGTCAATCGGCCATAGCAATGAGCCAAATAAAAAGAAAAGGAGGTGATGCTAAGTTCCTTCCGGTCATAACATCTTCTATATTGAATTTCAACAACTAAAGTCTTGTTTTGAAGCTTCGTCCAACAACCATGAGAAGTCCAGTATGCTATATAAATCTTAGGAGGGGTTCCAGCACCAAGAGAGGATACTAAAATAGACATTAATCTTCAATCTATCGAGAGCATTGAGATGCTCTCCAAGACAACATGCATTATTACTCACCTAGTTAAGTCTTTTCACTCTTTTATTTTTGTTGCTTACTCTCTTATAGTTGACACTTCTTATTTCAAAGTAATAGTGGTTGTTTTTTTTTTTTGTTTTATGCTTTATTTTATAGTGACATCTTTCTCATCCACTAAAATTTTTCATCCGAGAGGTGATAGGTCGACAGATTGTCGAACTCGAATCTCATATAAATCAAGTCGTATCAAAGCATGATCTTATAGATTGTAACCATGAGATAAGGTTTGAAGAATCAGACAAAGACTTATAAGAGTTGGAGTTCGAACCACGCTCACCTAGAGGAAGAATCACCAATAGGATGGTGACCAACACTCTGATAGCCTTGACCGACCTTATTGTTCAAATGATAATATTAACCTAGTAGATGGAGATCATGATGAGTTAGATGCAAACCCAAACTAACCCTCTGATAACCAACATTCGAGCAAACTATGACATAACTTATGAGAAAGTGTAGTCTCCATCTAAGACGTACAACAACAAAGAGAATACTATCGAGCATAGCATCGCAGCAAGAACTTGATTATTTTGAGTTGAGGCTCTCATTGACATACCCTTATTCCAGGGAATCATCAATGTTGAGATATTTGATACATGGATAAATTAGCTTGATGCTTGTTTTGATCAATATAATTATGCAATGATAATAAAATAATACTTGTGTGACTCAAGTTGATGAGACATATGCTTGCATGGTGGAAGACCTATTTTTGAGCCAATGACAATAAAGATATATCATGGATAGTTAAAAAGACTTAGAATTCTACTATATTAGGTATCTCAAAGAAAGAGGGAGGATGTGACGTTACTTATGCTAAGGATGGGACAAATATGTATAAGAATATACCATCAAGTTTCATCGACAAGTGATGATGCTCATAATCTCTCTCGACGATCAATTGATAATAATGAAATACACATTCGGGTTCTATATACAAATTTATACAAAGTTGAGCCTAGTCGAAATATATGATATTTCAACTATTATTAACATGGTGATAGTGATCGATAGAAAAAATCACACATACAGTAAAAAGCTTATGAAAAAGGTCAAAGGGAGCTACCCAACGGAGCAAGACTTCTTTTGCCTTCTTCAAAAGAAGTGATCATTTTTATGAACATTATAAAATTATAGGTTACTCCAAAGTAAAGTATTATAAAATTCACCTAGAACTTTTCCCAAATAAGTGATTAAAGAATAATCAAAGTCAATAAACCAGGGCTACGACCATGGGTGACAACTTTATCAAACTTTCGCCTGTTTCTTATACAAATATAAGTTTATTGCTAATGGTTAAACTAAAGGTTATAAACTTGAGTTTGACCTCTAGTCCAAAAGTTCAAGAAGAGCTCTTTATTATAAGGATCTAAGTAAACTAATAATCGTTGGCATGATTTTCGACATCGGGTGTCAAAAGAATCTTATCTCGATAAGCTTGATCAAGAAGCTTGGTCTAGAAATAACATCGCATTCGCACCCATATTCTCTTGAATGGTTTCATGATGATGTGAAGATAAAGATCTATTAACAATGCAATATATAACATGCGAGGTGGTTCCACTTGACATGTGCTATCCTTAGAAACCCATACTTATAAGATCAATATGTCATTTACTTTCACCGAACCCATAAGTATCAATGATACCCCAAAATATTGAAGAAAGTTCCTTATTGCTCGTGATCTAATTAGTTTGATGGAAGACTTAACATTTGCCGTCTAGACAAAAATGATGTGGAACACGTTTTCAAAACTTATGGCTCTCACTTTGGTATATAAGAAATCAAAGCCTTTCTCCAACTTGATAAAAGAGGAGGAGAAACTAAAAGGAATAGTAATATGCTTGAAATGGAAGAAGAAAAAGAAAGTTATTGAGTCGATGAGGATCCGATAATAAGAAAAACCCTATCAAATTGGTGTAAGTAGACAATATGGTTGGGTACGACGATGCCGACCACATCAATGGACTAAAGAAAAACCTTCAACCTATAAATGGAGAGGGAAGAAGTCTAAAAAAAAATTCTATAGAAATCGAATCATCTAATTGATGGAAATGATCTCATGAAGACCTAGATGAGCTCCAATAACCTTATAGTGTGGTCAATTCTTATCTAAGAGCCTCTTAAAGCTTTGTTTACTTGTTGTGAGAAATCTAGAAGCCTTGTTGTTAATTGTCTAAATATCAGGAGGATATTCCAACACTAAGAGAAAAGAATGAGATTGAAACAAACATCAATCTTCAACCTACCGGAAGCATTGTGGTGCTATCAAAGACAACATAAGTTTTTATGCACCTAGTTGAGTATTTTGGCACTTTTATTTCTCTTCATCAGTCCCTTACGGTTTAATTTTTTATTTCAAAGCAATAGAGATTGTTTCCCTTCAGTTTTCTACTTGATTTTATGATGATATCTTTATCCTCCATCAAAACTTTTTATTCAAAAAGTGACAACTCAATGAATTGTTGAACTCGAACCTTGTACGGATCAATGGGTGAAGATTGATGGCGAAGTCATTGGCATCTTTATGGAAGTTAATGAATAGGAGCTAATGGAGATTGACATAGGAGATGTTAAGGAGGCGAGGGGTCTTGAAAAAGTTGGCGGAGTCAATGATGATGGTGATAATGTGACGATAATGATGAAAGAGGGTGAGGGCACATTTGAAGACTTTAGCGACTTCCATGATAATGTGGTGGAGGAGGCAACCATATGAAGCAGAGGCGACAATGTCTCGTAACATAGCAAAAGTAAACGACGAACGAGGTTGACATAGTCATAACACAATGTAAACGATCACGATAAGACATAAGCCAAAAGTAAAATAATAAAGATAATTTAGAAAAAAAAATCTACAATAATAAAGTAAAAGAGAAAACTATATTAAAAAATAAAATTTAAGATTTTTTTAGAATTTACCCATTAATCTTTATCCCATGGTTTGCCGTACCGGTCCGTATCGCCCGGTACGGGCGGTATGTACCGGTCCGACAGGCTTCCGGTACGCGGATCGCCTATTACCGATCCGGTACTGTAGCAGTACTGTAGTACTGTAGCAGTACTACAGTGCTCGGCACGCCTGAATATACCGCTCGGTACACCTGGGTGTACCGAGCGGTATACCGTACCGTACCGGTACCGAGCTCAGGTCGAAACTCCGGTATGGTACGATATTGCGAACCTTATTTTATCGGGCACTATCATATTGAGAATTTATTAGAATATTTTTTAATATAAATATAATATTCATATTTTAAATTTATTACGTAATGTTTTAAAAATCGGATCAAATTGAATCGAACGGTTTACCC